TCTGCAAAGCCGGCTTCAGATGAATCACGCTGCCTTAAAATCCTTGCGTCTTTGGAGGAGCCGAGCAAGGCTGCCATCCCAAACCTTATTGATTACGACGCAGTATACGAATCTGTCAAGGAGGACTCGAACAATGCTTTGAATACATGTTTGCTGCAGGAGATTCAGCGGTATAATTTGTTGCTTCGAAAGATTCATGCGCAGAAGAGTGAGCTTCGGCGTGCGGTGAAGGGAGAGGTGGTTATGAGTGATGAGCTTGAAATGGTGTTTAATGCTCTCTTGCTGGGTCGTGTCCCACCACCGTGGACAAGCGCGTATCCAAGTGTGAAGCCACTTGCGAGTTGGTCTGTCGACCTTGTGGAGCGCATAGATCAGATGAAACAGTGGGGACAACGTACGCCAAATGTATTTTGGCTCTCCGGATTTACATATCCGACCGGCTTCTTGAAGAGTTTGCAACAGCAGCAGGCTCGGCACGATCATATCTCTATTGACCAGTACACATGGGAGTTTATTGTCCACCCTAGTGATGAGCGCACTGTTGTGCACCGTGCCAAGAAGGGGGCATATGTTAGGGGCATCTACCTCGAGGGCGCGGGGTGGAATGCAGAAATGAATACACTTTGTGAGCCGCGCCCGCTGGAACTCATTGTGCCCATGCCGATCATCCATTTTAAGCCAAAGTTGCGGGACGGCAAGCCGCGTTCCTCATCGATATACGAGTGCCCATTGTACATGTACCCTATCCGCACCGGTACGCGCGAGCGACCATCGTTTGTCGTGGCAGTCGACCTTCCTTCCGGCGAGGCAGTGCCCGACCATTACACGAAGCGGGGCACGGCGTTACTGCTCTCCACGGATGAGTAAAGGATAAAACAAAAAAAAAAGAAACGAAAACGAATGAGAGGGCAATAAGAAGTAAGGCGCGTCTGCGTATATGTGTGCAACTATGGAGGGGGGGGGGAGAAGGTACGGGAAAATGAAGGATGAATATGTAAAAAAAAAAAAAAATGGAAAACACCCAAAACAAAAAAAAAGGAACATCTGTGAAGAGCACATGAGGATTGTTAAAATAGAGGGGGAGTGGATTAAAGCGGCGGAAAAAATAAAGAAAAAAAGTGTACTTGATTGACGAAAGCTCATCCCTCCCCATTATATGCGTATGCATATAATATAATAAACAAGGACTTTTCTCTCCCTTTTTTTTTTAAATTATTGTTTTGGGTCCATTTTTTGTTGGATGTTTTTTTACTTTTTTGTTTGATTTGTTTTGTCTGTATGTATGCGTGGTGTTGATTGTGTGACACCTCTTTTGCACCTCACAGATATGAAAAGGGCTGATTTTTTATATGCTCGAATGTGTGTGTGTGTGGGGACCATTTGTGTTTACCACTATGTATGATAGAAGAACACAAGAAGCGTCAAAATTTTATGTAAACCACTGCGAGAAAAAGAGACTTTCTCTTGACGCTATTTTTAATTGATATATCATCTTAGAGCTCGTGGTGTGCTTGTCAAGCGTTACTGACAAGATAAATTAACGGCACATGCATGCCGCTATTTTTTTTTTTTTGTTGTTGTGTTGAATTGACGGAACATCACTGACTTTTGTGAGGCGGCAGAGACGTCGTGAATTCTCCATTCTTTTTTTTTTTTTTTTGTTTGTGTTTGTATTTATGGGGGGCAAATGAAAAGGGGGGAGATTAGGGGCTGGCGATTTATTTCATCTTATCACACGAGTAGAAGGGGGGTATTACTTTACATGCTTGGATGGGGTGCCTCGGAGAGGCGTGTCACGAGCAGCAAGGAGCTGCGCGATGTTGAAATGTACGTTTACACACTTCCTGCCGGGCTGTTGGGCCGTTACATTGGTCGAGCTTTGCGGTTTCGCGTGGAGCGGTTTGCGTACGATATTGACGCGGCCAACCGGTCACTGAAACGCGTCGAGGTGGAGGCCGACTCTCTTTTGCCCCAGTGTGAGGTGGATCGCTGCAAATTTGAAAGGCTTTTGTTGAATTTTTCGGAGGTGGAGCGTCTGTCAAGACGCGTACGCAGTTATGTTCTTGATGCCCCACGCTACCCGCGCATCTTCTACGATGTGGAACAGGAGACGAAAGATCATATCGATGGCTCCTTGCAGCTTCACGGTGAGACACATCCGGTGCGATGCAGCAAGACGATGGAGGGGCCGGAGCTTGTGGTGCGTTGCCCGATTGACAGTCGGGCGTTTAATGTGCCGCGCTACTCTATTTTGTTTGGGCTTTTTAGTGTCTCGCAGCATGTGGAGGTGGAGACGCGTTTACCGCTCAAAGCAATGAATTTGTGAGCGCCAGGCAACAGTGGAAGAAAAAGGTGGAAGGTTGGGTGAGTGGGGGAGGGGAGGCGACATTGCCAAGAAAAAAAGAATAATGTGGTTTAAATGAGGAGGTTTTGTGTGTGCAATACATGTTTGCAGGAGGTTTTTTTATTTTCCTTTCTTCTTCCTACTCCGTCTGCCTGGCAACGTGTGGGGTGCCGCGGTGTGTCTGTGTGACCGTTCAATAATCGCCGAGGACCGCCTGCGGCGTAGACGAGGACATAAAGAAGCCAAAAAAGGGGGAGGAAGACGGAAAAAAGAGTTGCACAGGAGAGTAGCTTTTTGCATGTCAACAGAACTGAGTTTTGTGCGTGGGCTCATTGTAGGATCGGGCTCGAGTACCGCCACACCCATGCTGAGCTGCATCACCGGCGCCTCACCCTGCAGCACCTGCACGGAGGCGCTTAAAGACCCACAACATAGCAAAAATCACCGTCTCAATGTGTCATTTCTGATACAGCTGCGGCACCCAGCAGATTATTCCCTGCACAATGTGCTTATCGACTGCGGAAAAACATTCCGCGAGTCGGCCATGAAGGTGTTCCCTGCCGTCGGGGTGTCGGACCTCAGCGCGGTTCTTCTCACACATGACCACGCGGATGCCATATTCGGGATTGATGAATTGCGGGAGTTCAACCGACCCGACATCCCGCTTGACGTTTATGCCGACGAACGGACCGATTCATCGATACGCCGAGTGTATCCGTATCTATTTCCAAAGGATGGCTCCCCCGGGGTTGGCGAGTGGCGAAAGAAGAAGACAGGATACGTTGCATCTATTTCCGGGCACGTATTTAAACCACTGGAGAAACTTGTGCTGAATATTTGTTGCCGCACACCACCACCTTCTGGGGGCGACGAGCCCGCGATGGGTTTTTGGTCTGTTGTGCCCATTGCCGTCCCACACGGCGTGAATTATGATGCAAATGCGTTTCTTTTACCAATGCATACGTCTGGAAATAAACCGCGACTTTTACTTTATGTTTCTGACATTAGCACATTGGAGGAAAAGTTTTTTACCGACTTGGCTCGGGCGAAGGAGTTGTTAGGGGTTCCGGATTCGGTACCCATAGAAGTTCTCGTGCTGGACATGTTGTCCCGCAAACCCTATTTTTCCCACCTGAACGTTGATGCTTCAATTGCGGCAGCATGCAAGATTCAGGCGGGGAAAACGTATTTTGTTGGCATGTCACACTCGTTGAACCATGACGAATTGAAAAAAGAGCTGCAGGAGTTGGGATTGAGCAATCGGATGTGGGTGGGCTTTGACGGCTGCGTTGTTTCCATTGGTGACGCCGATGATGCCGAGTCTCCTCAGTTTTGAGCCTTGAATGGGAGGTGGGACTTGTCTCTTTTTCCATATGTTTGTCTGTCTGCTTGCGGACAGGAGCCGTCCAGATGAAAAGTGGTCGAAGTGGAGGTCTTTTGGCTGCAGGAGTAAAAAATCCCCGCGACAACAAACAACAAACTGAGGAAGGAGGAACGGAATTTTTTTTTACCCCAATAACTAATTTCTTTTTCTTTATTTTTTCCCTGTTGTTTTCTGTAGGAAGAAGAAGAAGAAGAAGAAGAAGAAGTGAATGCGTCGGGAATTGTGGTCCGTACATGAATCTGCATGTGGTATCGGTGGAGCACTCCTTGACGAAACCCGACCCCCTGCTCGGTGATGAGCTGATGAGTCCGTTGTTTCATCGTGTGTCCGATCGGTGTCCGGTGCTGCATTTATTCGGGTACGTCTACACGAGTAAGGAGGGCTCCGGTCCGCAAGGTGATATTAATGCGACCGTTGCAGCGGGAGGGGCATCGGATTCTATTCAACAACGCAGTGTCTGTGCGCATATCCACGGTGTGTATCCATATTTCATGGTGCTGCGCCACGACAGCCGGGTGTCTGTGATGCAGTTTGGCGCCCAGTTGGAGGCGGTGGCGTTGCGGGTCTTGAGGCCCTCTTCTTCATCAACGTCAGCACCGCCCCGTCAGCTGCTTCATCATGTTGAGTTGGTGCGGCGACTGCCTTTTTATGGCTACCATGAGAGGTTCAGGTCGTTCTTCAGGGTAAGTGTGATTGACCCCGCGATGGTGGGTAGACTCGTGCGTCTTCTCGGCCACACGACAGAAGTGGGAGGGCGACGATGGCAGACGTACGAGTCACACGCGCCGTACCACTTCCAGTTTATGGTGGATTACGGCATGAAGGGGATGGCACCGTTTTTTATCCCCACATGCACGGCACGCTCCCCCATACCAAAAGAATTGCAGCACGTGCAGGCACAGGCACGCCTGAAAATCACCGCAGTGACGTCGAAAGGAGAACCAATGCGCCTCACGCGTGCTGAATTGGAAATTGATGTGAGGGCATCTGCATTGCGATGGCGGGAGAGCTCTATAGAGACGGGGGAGAACCTTCTCTCTGTGCGGCGCAGTGTGCGGCAATACTTTGCCGAGTGCGGCGTTGATGACGCCCCACGGTGTGGAGCGGCTTCTGACACATCGGACCGTAACTGTACCGTGTGTGACGTACAAAATAGCGATCTTGCCGTCTCGACGATGCGACAGCGGGCATTGACGTATCTGCGTGCCAGGGCTGACACTGCCACAGCGGAACCCTTGTCACATATGACGTCGACGCCGCGGGATGGGTTGGAAAAAACTACGAATTTTCCCCTTTCCGCTGGTACATTGAGCGAGAATCTGACGATGCGACTCATGGAGGAGATGCACGGAGACCGTGCGGAATCGGCACCCTTTTCTTTTTCGGTTTCAAGCACGTCTTTTTCCTCTCCCTCGGTTTTAGTGCAGTCTGTGGAGGATATGATTGACGATAAGGGGGGAGGTTTGTTGCTTTCCAGCGAGGACGATTGTGTGCAGGGTTCCACTTTAATCAATGACAATTCACTAGCCGTAGGGGATTCCATTGTTTTGTTTGATGGGCAGGCCGACGGCAGCGCACCGCGAGGGCCATTGATAGCCAAAATAACCGGGATGGAAGCTCAGACTGTGCGGTTGCGGTGGTACATGACAATCCGTGAGACACACCTCGCCGACACCCAGGCTGAACTCGAAAGGAATGGTCGTTGGCTTGCACGGGGTGTGCCTGATGCCGGCGGCAGTGCGGCCGGTGTAGGGGAGGAGTTGCTTTTGGGAGATGTGGAGGATGATAACCCAATTGATGTCTTGAAGCAATCTGTGCGCGTTGTGGTCTGCCACTCGTATCGCGCCTACAAGAGCCCCGCACTGCTGTGCCGCTACAACTACCACGTTTTGGAGCAGCGTCTTTCGGTGATTGAACCGGCACGGGATGAGGACTTCGTGGCACTCCCTGCCGTCCTTTCCCTTCCGACAGCGGACGGTTTGAGAGCGGGTGTCGTGGCTGAGGATGAGGAGCTTTTGGCATCTTTGTCTTCTTCGGCATTTTCATCGTCATCACCGTTGTGTGCAAAAGCAGCGGCAGTTGCACCGGAGACGCATGTTGTGGCGTCCCACTCTCCGTCGATTCCTTCAATGAAAGACGGAAAATACATACCGGTCCCCTTGCGACGATCCGTCTCCAGTGTGGTGCAACAGGCGGCCCAGTCGCAGCTATCAATGCTCCTTAGCCGCATAGGCAAATCACCATCTTCAACAGCGGTTGTTCACTCCGTAGCCTCGCTGTCTGGAACATCTGTTGCGAGGGTTCCATCGGAGCCCTCTTCTTCTTCTTCTTCTATTGAGTGTGTCAACTCCCGTCATGCGGTCTTATTTCAGGAGTGCGGAGAAAACACGGCCTGTTTACACCCATGTTATTTTATGGGTGACATTCCGCGTAATTTTCGATGGAAATACGATAAACACAAAAAATCTGTTGTTGTCTCTGCTGCCACTTGGCCCCTTGCCACACCTGCTGTTCCTGTTGATAAAGTTGCTCCTGCGGATGCTTCAAAAGGGAGGGGAACGCTTAGAGCAACGGCAGGGCCAATTGAGACAAGGCCTTCTGTGCCGCTTCTTTCACAAGTGGCGCCATCGCAGTGGGGGTCGCCTGACCATCAACCTGCGTCGGGCGTTGAACCGAAATGGCAGCCGCACCCATCATCAAATGCATCCCGTTCAGTAGACAGGGGCGCTTATATGACTTGCGATCTTCGTGTCATGTGCGTGGAAGTACTCATTCACCGCCGGCGCGGTACACAGAACGTGGCGCAGGAGGAACTGCTGGCAGTGGCTCTCGGACGCACCAGTTCTTTTACGGAGTCCGTCGGCGTGCGGCTCTTTTGTGTAGGCCCATCGAAAACGCCAATTCGTCGGCTGCAACAGCCGTTTAGTGGCGTTGTCGATGTGTTTTTTTTGCCGTCAGAGTTTCATTTGCTGCGGCAAGTGCGTCAAGAGTTGTGCTTCTATGATCCCGACATTATTCTCTCTTGGGATGGTTCCAGGTACGGGGTCGGGCCTTTGGAACGACGTTACCGTATCGTTCTACAGCGTTCCTTTGCGCAGGATTTCTCTCGTCTTTCTGGTGGATACGGGATGGCCGATGGCAAGGGTGAGGAGGCGGTTGAAACGGATGCATTGGGTGATTGCGCGAGCGACGGGGATGCGTCGTTCTCATCACTGTCGCCGCCGTCCTCTTTGTTTTCCGTGCCGTCGGTGGATGGGGTCGCAGAGTTGCCTGCGAATAAAAAAACATCACGTGCAGCTGCACCTGCCGCTCCGCTTCTCGGCGTAGAGGAAATGGTCAGGCGTCTTTCAAGGCGGTTTGGTGGCAGTGACTGTGTCCCCGGTCGTGTTGTGGTTGATCTTGGCAGGCAGCTGCGCAAGGAGATGAAGCTCCCCTCACAAACGTTACAAATGGTTTATCAGAAACTCTTCCACAGTAGTCTGCCGTACTTCACAGATGCTGCCCTGATAGAGATGTACACCAGCAGAAGTGATGACATGCGGCGTGTGGCACTCTCTGTCCTTTTGACGCGGGCTGTAATTCCTCACCGCATCGCGCAGCATCTTCGCTTCTACACTCGTGTAGTGGAGTTCTCGCGAATGTATGGAATCCTCTTTTATGAGGTGCTCAGTCGTGGCAGTCAATATCGTGTAGAGGCGACGTTGCACCGCATGACAAAGCCCATGGGTTACGCGATGTTGTCACCGTCGCCTGAGGAGGTGCACCATCAACCGAGCCTTGTGAGCATGCCGCTCATTATGCAACCCCGTAGTGATTTCTACAAGGACGATCCGATTGTTGTGCTTGACTTCCGAAGTTTGTACCCCAGTATTATAATCGCGTACAACCTCTGTTACTCCACCTGCCTAGGAAAAGTCTCGAAACACCGCCGCGGTCGTTTGGGGGTTCTGACATCATACAAACAGGTCGACCCTTTACTTCTTAGACTTCTTGCGGAGGATGACATGTGCCCGAAATCCCACCGAGTGACGTTTGCACCAAATGGATGTATGTTCCTGTCGCCAGAGGTACGCAAAGGTGTGCTTCCGCAAATGTTGCAGGCGCTACTTGACACACGACTTGAAGTACTAGCGGCTTTGAAGCATGTAGCACAGCCGTCTGGGGACAACTATATGCAACGGATTCTGCAGGAGCAGCAGACCGCTATTAAAATGCTCGCAAACACAACCTATGGGTACACTGCGGCCTCCTTTACTGGACGAATGCCGTGTGTGGATGTCGCGGATGCCACAGTCATGCTTGGGCGTCAGACACTTGAGCGGGCAATGCGACTTATTAATATTCATCCGGGATGGGACGCTGAGGTGGTGTACGGCGACACAGACTCGCTGTTTGTGCGGTTGCCGGGAAGAACAAAGGAGGAAGCCTTTCTGTGCGGCGAACAGATGGCGAGGGAGGTGAGTCGTATCAACCCCACACCGATTCAACTGCAGTTGGAGAAGGTCCTATCTCCTTGTCTTTTGCTTGCGAAGAAACGCTATGTGGGGTACGCTTACTACAAGCCAGATCAAACGCAGCCGCAATTTTTTGCGAGGGGTATTGAGACTGTGCGCAGGGATCAATGCCCCGCCACCTCCCGTCTGGCGGAATGTATGATCCACCTTCTTTTCTCTGGCGCCTCCACAGACGAGCTACGGGCTCGATTCTTCGAGGAGGTGGGCAAACTACAACGTGGGGCATGTAATCCAGCCGACTGCATCTTTAGAAAGTCTGTGAAACTTGGGCGTTATCGCGATGAGACGCGTCTCCCACCTGGAGCGCAACTTGCCATGCGGTTGATGGAGAAGGACTTTACACGCACCCCTTATTGGGGTGAACGCTTGCCATACGTCGTGGTCCAGCCAATGGCGTCTGTTCGACTTTGCGATCGGGTGATACATCCGCAACGTCTGCTGGATTTGAAGGAAAATCTACGAATTGACCACGAGTACTACATTACGCGCCACATCATTCCAACCTTGGATCGCATGTTTTACCTCATTGGCGTGAGCTTTGCGAACTGGTACGCGCTCATGCCAAAGCGGCGGTCATATCACAGTTACTTTGAACTGGGTTTGACAAGGCTCCCGTTATCCGGTAGAAAAACGGCACGGACACGTCATGCTGCCATTGTGCTGGAAGAAGGCACAGAAGTTGACATGGAACACAGGGATCAGCCGTTTTACGTGGTGAATCCAGCATGCTTTGCGAAGAAGGGGACGCTGGATGCTTACTATCAGCAGACGCTGTGCGCCGTGTGTCTTGAGAAATTCTCGGAAACGACACCACCGGATCCACCCGTATGTGGCGATTGTTTACGCATCCATGCGGTACCTGTTGTGAGTGTGATACGGCGCCGGTGTAGTGTGGAGCGACATTTGCGATTACTGGAGACTGCGTGTCGACGTTGCATTGGCTCGTGTGGGGAGGCAGGCGGACCGAATTTCTTGGCAGGGAAAGAACGAGACATGGAAGACATGCACTTTGCAGTTCCCCATCAACTTGCGGCGGCTTCTTCTGCCGTGAATGGGGAGGAGTCGACGTGCTGTCTTTCCGTTGACTGCCACTTGTCCTTTGAGAAGCGTCAGATATTTCTTCTCTACTCCCAGCTGATGACGTTGGAAAATTTTCTGACAAGTCTGTGAGTCACTTTTTTGTTCCCCCTTTCCTTTTCTCTCTTGGAAGGGAATTCGGTGGGATTTTTTTGCACTTGCGACAATGGCGTCACTGTTGCTGCTGACTCTCACGGCACACATGCAATTTATTCACCTTCTTCGTTGTCTCACATTTTTTTTTAATTTGTGTCTCCATGCGTGTCTTTTGTACTTCTTTTTCTGTTTTTTTTCTTTCTTTCCTTTGTATCTCGTCTCATTTCAGCGTCCCGTTAGGAACAGCGAAGGATCGGATGAGGCGGGTGGTGAGGCGGGCGGCTCCGTTGCTGTGCCGCTCCCACCAGTTCCTTGCGAGGAGAAATGCGGCTCATGAGGGCAAGGCGTTGAGTCACGCCCCTCCGGCTGTTGACACCGCCGAGTTGGATTCACCGTTTCTCTCGTCCCTGTTGGAGCCTCCAGTGACGGTGGCACTCCACGATGCCACCCGCACATATTCAACGATGGATGTAGTGGAGCCGCCTGTGCGGTATGACCCGCGCTGTCCGAATGTCTACTCCGAGCATAAGGGCATGGAGAATGGAAGAGAGAGCGAGGGACTCGTCATGCGTGCGCACCGTGCAGGAAAACTATGGTCTGCGTTTGCTGCTGCCAAAGGGAACGACCCGCCAGAGTGGTTTTATAAGCTCTGTGAGGACTTGTATTACCGGCGTCACAGCGAGGATGAGATGGATGCAACGGCTTTATCCAGCGATGTAGATTTTCAAGACCACAACACTCTTATGGACGCATGGAGAGTAGAAGATAAGACAAGTGAGAGCAATAAAAACAACAACGATGACAGGAAAAATAATAATAACAAAAAAGATGATGACAAGGACGAGGAAGAAGGTGTAGACCCGTACCTCTGGCTGCCATTTGACTTACTGAATGAGGGAGAATATCATGTTGGCCCTTATGTTTTTCCCAGCACTGCCACGTATACGCATGAACAACGGACTCTGCTTTGTCTGGGCGATACACGCAGGGAATATGTACACTTCTGCAATACATACGCCTTCCCTGAGCGTGTACAGATACCAACATCAGTAGGGACGCAGCCTGCCAAGCTTTACGTGGATCCATTGCAAGAGACGCCGGTAGTTTACATCCAATTGAGTGATGATTTCCCACCTGCCATGTGGCTTCCCGTGAAGGGGACTGCTGCTGCTGTTCGACGTGTGTTGGCGGAATTTGCGTCTATATCCGCACTTCATCGAGACTGGCACCACGAGGGGTTTGAGGAGCGCTTTAGAACGGCGCAGCGTATGTTGGAACTTCAGCGTATGCCTTCAAGTGAGGGTGATATTCTTCGTTACATGTCGTACGACGCACGTAATGAGCAGTTCGTATTTGCTCCCATAAGAGAGTTTCCCAATCAGCAGGAGTTTTTTCTCGGTGAACACGACGACCCTGAACGTCTGTTGGAACACGTTGATCTCTGCCCCTTTTTGTTTTCGATCCCACACTTACGAACCGTAGTGGACCCTCACGCAGAGCACATGACCCCGACGATTGACGGCCCTGGTGTGGCGACGTCACTCTATCGTTGTGTCTTTTCCAAAACGCTCTTGTTTGTGCAGGTGCAGCTTTCTGCCGAGGTGAAGCTTCCTCCGCAAGATCCCGAGGCCTTTCGTTTCATGTGGAAAGACTCTCAGGTGGTTCCCAAGATGCACATTCCTGTTTTTGTTCGTGTGGTGTGGCCCGATAACGAGCGCATGTGCGGCGGGGGTCAGTTGGTGCGCCGTTTTAACCGTTTTTTTAAAACGGAGTTTGCTTCGGACATACCAGTCGATGCGGTGATGGCGCTTCTGTATATTATGCAGTGGGCAAAGCAGCTACCGAACTTTCTGGGTGTGCGTGGCATGCGTGAGCGTCTGGCCGAATTGGAGGCGGCGGCGCAGATGCCCGAACCCGCCAAGTTATACCCGGACACGCGAGAGATTCCCAATCCAGAGTACACCGTCATGGAGCGTATTGGAATGCATGTGCAGTACCTGGCGCAGCTTGGGGATCCGGAGATTGCATTGACTATTCAGCGACTTCTTCCAGAGGCTTCAGCACCAGTGCGCATGGGATGCGCAAAGGCCGCTCTTATCGCGGGAGAGCGAGAGCTGTTTCGCCACATTGTGAGCAGCGAGCCCCCTGGTCGTATGCAAGTTTACATGACGAAACTTGTGAGAAAACGCAAGTCACGAGATTTGATTGACTCTGAGCCACGCCTGCTCGAGGAGCAGTATGAGTTTGCGGCCCCGCTGTGGACAAAGCGTGGCACACGCATTGACAAAAACACACTTGAAGGGGCCGTAGACATGCAGGGAAGAATTGGTGGATGAAGGGCGCCACTTTTTGTGACTTTTTGTTTTTGTTTTTTACACCACCAACACTACACACCTTGACAGACAGACGGATTGGAGAGCAGTGATACTGTTCTTTTTTTTTTTTCTTCCCTTTTTTTCTCTCTCTCTCTCTCTGTGTGTGTGGTGTCGTCAAAATAGTAATAAAATGCAACGCATATGTAGTGATTTCTTTTGGACCTATTCATTGGCGTACCATCAGGCTTAATGAAACTTTTTTTCCCTCTGTTCTGTTGTTTGCTCTTTTCTTTTTTAAAAATAAGGGACCATTTTTGGACGGACGGCGTGCCTGGGTTTTTTCCTGTCACTTAGGTGGGGAGGGGAGGCCGACCAGCAAAAAGGAATAGGAGCGGCAAAAAGTAAATGGCAGAGAGGCCGATGACATCCAAGCGTCCTCGGGAAGAGGAGTGCGGGATGGAGGGAGGTGTCGAAAAGACATCGTGGCGGGGCGAACAGCCACCAAAAGCGGTACAACAATCCAACTTGCATCGATCGCTGAAGGAGGCACGTTTTGCGGGGCGATCGATGGAGGAGGGATTCCATCGGCAGTTGGGACCCTACGAGGCACCCGATGAGGCGGTGGATGTGGAGGATTTGGTTCAGGGACACGAGGACTTTGGCGATCTGCCCGAGGGGCGCCGTCGCGCGCTGTTGGAGTCGGTGCGGGTGCTGGCGCAGAAGGTTGCTGCGACAAAGAGCAAGAACCAACTGGAACACCTGCGCGTGAAGGCGTCCTGCCTTGTGGGCTTCAAGGACACTGCGAGGAAGTCCGAACTGACGGCGGCGTACCGTCAATTAGTACGGGCAGGTGAGCTGCAGGCGTCACCGGTGATGGAGGAGCTTCTGGTGCGTAAGCGCGGTAAGTCGCATAGCGGCGTTCTTGTAGTGACTGTTTTCATGGGACCGGGTCAATTTTCTTGTCCGAAGGATTGCCATTACTGCCCGAACCAGCCAGGTATCGCACGATCGTATCTACTCAAGGAACCAGGCGTATTGCGCGGGTACCGCAATGGATGGGACCCTATCTCCCAGTTTTATGATCGGGCGAGCGCGCTGGAAAACAACGGGCATGTGGTGGACAAGATTGAGCTTATTATTCTTGGTGGGACGTTTTCGTTTTACCCGAAGAAGTACGCCGAAGAATTTATTGCCGGTTCTTTTTACGCTGCCAACACATATTACGACTCTGCGCCACTGCGGCCCATGCAGAGTCTGCAAGAGGAAATTACATTTAACGAAGATGCCCGCTGTCGTGTCATTGGTGTAACGGTGGAAACACGTCCAGATTACATCAACGCATCTGAATTGCGTCGATTCCGTTGCCTTGGTGTTACTCGTGTGCAGCTTGGCGTGCAGCATCTTGACGACGACATCCTCACAATTGTGAATCGTGAATGCCCGACAGCCAAAACCATTTTAGGGATTAAACGATTGCTCGACGCGGGGTTTAAAGTCGATGCTCACTGGATGCCCGATTTGCCAGGAAGTAGTTATAAAAAGGATCGTGAAATGTTTGAGTATCTGTTCTCTCTTGACAATGAAAACTTCCAGGTGGATCAATGGAAGGTCTATCCCACAGCAACGGTACCCTATACAAAGATTGAGGAGTGGCATCGTAAAGGGCTTTACAAGCCCTATGCGGAGGTGGATGACGGTGCCTGGATGGTGAAACTTCTTGTGTACATCATGGAACAGTGCCCTTATCGCATTCGTTTAAATCGTATTGTTCGTGACATTCCAACGACTTACATCATGGGTGGCGAGCGGCGGTGTAACCTGCGGCAGGTTATTGAGGCGGAGATGAAAGCAAAGGGGATTCGTTGCAAGGACATTCGTGAGCGTGAATGTAAGGGCAAGCCCGTCGATCGCGATCACACAAAAATTTTTGTGGATGAATTTCGCGCAAGCGACGGGACGGAGTTTTATATCTCCGTCGAGGACCCTGAGAGAACGACACTTTACGGGCATTTGCGGTTGCGGTTGCGTGACAACAGTGGGGCCGAGAATTCCATCTTTAAGGCGCTTGAAGGTTGTGCGCTAATTCGCGAGTTGCACACCTACGGCCGGCTTGTGGCGGTGTCGCGGCCCAATTCTGGAAATGCGGCACAACACGTGGGCGTGGGCACACAACTGATGCGTGAGGCTGAGCGAATCTCCCTGTCGCGCGGATTTAGCCGGTTGGCTGTGATTGCAGGGGTCGGTGTACGGCGGTACTACGGCAAGCTCGGGTATCACCTGGAGGAGACATATATGGTCAAGGGTCTTGCAGTGAATGGGGAGAACGCCATTACGGAGGAGCAGGTGGTGCAGGATGACGACAATGACAATCTTGGTTTCTTTTCCAAATTGAAGAGTCTCATTTTCAGGAAGTGAACATCTTGTCCTTCTCCGCTTTGGTGGCAGACACTCACTGGGGTGGGAAGCAGCGTGGTTATTTGCTGCTGTGTGTGTGTGTGGGGAACCCGCCTAATTTTGGGCGAAGGGTGAACTTCCCTACCGCCATGAGTGAAGTTGCACTGTTATTTCTGCAGGTATAAATCTGAACAAAGGAGGAGGGAAAAAAAGGTCAAAAAATAAAAATAGTGCTTGTGTGTTTATTTTGTTTTTGTTTCAGCATGGCTGAAAAGAAAAGCAAGTGAAACTTTGTCTTTCTTTTTTTCTTGCAAAGTCCTTTTTTTTTCCCTTTTCTTTTCTTTGGATTCACATGTAACGTCTAGTGGAGAAATCAGCGCGTTTGTTTCTCTCTTTCTGTGTGTTTGTGGGGAACAAAAAAGGGGATAGACGGCGTGGGATGATGAGACGCATGTCAACTGTGGGGTGCGACGCCTTCTGCGTCACGGTTCTTCAGCCGTCATTCTCTTCGATGCCACAGTTGCTGCCCATGTTTTTGCCGCCCACACGAGGGTCGGTGCGCAGAGTGGCGTTCGCGTCCTCGCCCAAAAAGCCACATAAACTGCGCAGTTTTTTCAAGATGGCGGACATGTACAGACCGGGCAAGTACACGTCAAAGGACATGCCGAAGGGACCGACGCCATCGAACCAGCCATGGGACCCTGTTTTTGCTCACTACGCCTTTCAAAAGGCCACTGGCCCGCTGCAGCGAAAGCAGAACACAACCCCAGATGATCATCTTACCGTTGACGAGCTGGAGAAGTGGATGGACGCAACCGCCGCCGCGAAGGTGTTGGGCATCAAGGAGTCGGAGTTGCCAACATTAACGTCCTTGCAGCTTGAGGAGCGCTGGGCAAAGGTGTACAACGAACGCACGAATGCGATGCAGCAGGAGACAGTCATCGCAGCTGAGGTGTTGTTGGAGTATATTGATTCCTCAGTGCATCGTAAGAAATCCCGGCAATATTACAGGAATTACGTTGACAACGCACGACATGCGCTCGACCACGAAGCTGATTTGCGACGTCGGGGTTATCAACAGAAGTTTTATTATTTGTTTGGCGCGGTAATGGTCATTGGGTGCAGTGCGGTGATGTTTGTTGCGTTTTTTCGAAACGTTATTACTCGTAGGGACGTTGAGAACATTGGCGCCAGTGCCGTGGCGTACCTCAATATGGCCTTCCTACAGCCAAGCAATCCGGAGCCGGCGCCAGATTATTCCACACGTTACCGTGACACTCCCACCGCCATGGAGATTGACCAGCGCGAAGGCAGGTACGGCAATACGGATCCCACGCAAGCCCAGCTTGTTTTAGAGGTCGAGGAGTTTCGACGTCATGAGGAGGCTGAAATGTTGCGACTTCTTAATGATGAGAATGAACGTGCGCAAAAGGAGGCAAAGATGCAGGCGGCTAGAGGTAGCCGTGTGCGTGTGTACCGTTCGGAGGACTTTGATGAATCCGGCGAGTTGAAGGAACCTGCGGCACTCAACAAAGACGTGGACCCCGCAGCCGCCTTCTCTCAAATGACGTTTCGGCAGTTTGCTGCCATGATGGCGTCACAGTTTGGCGGAGGCTCGCGGTTTCAGCGCATCACGCAGAACAGTGTGCGGCGCATGGAAGAAATGGAGAATATGCGAAAGCGTATCGACGAGACAAATGTGTAGTGCAAACGGGCCTTTCACTTTTGCCAAAAAACTAGGCGTCATGGCGTGTAGGCGTGACTGCTCTTCTCCGTCTTTTTTTTTTGATTTTAGGCTTCCCTTTTGCTTGACGGTCTGTTTGCTTTTTCTTTTTTTTTCCTTTTTTAAAAATTTCTTTTTTTTCCTTTTTTTTTTTTCTTACTGCAGTTTTCTCTCTCTTTCTCTCTCAGTGTGTGTGCCTGTGTCTGTGTGTGTGTGTGTGTCTCCTGACTGGCGGGGTGGCATGTGCGGGGGGAGGAAAAAGGAACCGCAGCAGATGTCGTCGCCCTCCACCCCTCGTTTGCACATGCCGTCCGTGGCACTTGCCTCGACGGCTGCCACCGTGCTGGCAAAGTTTATCCTCCACCCACTGGACACGCTCAAATGTCGTCTACAGTCCTCAAACTCTCGCAGCCTGCGGTTTATTTGGGGCGAATACGCTGGCAAGTGGGGGCCGCGGTACCTCTACGGCGGATTACCGATCAAACTGGCATTCTACGTGCCCTATCAAGCAATCTACATGCCAACCTACAATTCGGTGCGAGATGCATTAATGCCTGTGGATGTAAGAAAAGACACTCGTTTTGCGTTTATAACGCGTACCGTAGCCGCCGCCAGCGCTGCTGAACTGGCGAGTTGCATCGCTCGTGTTCCGATGGAAACGGTGAAGATGCGCATTCAAGCCACCGCGGTGCCGAACACAAAAGCTGCTCTGCGGCTGATTTTCCAGCAAGGTTTTTTTGCCAGCGTTCGGCAAGTGAAGGCACAAACGCTTGTTCACGATATTCCATACAGTATTACTCAATGGATTGCGTATGAGAGTTTTCGTCCGTGGACGCAAAGTTTGCAGCAAAGGCATGAACTTCAAAAGGAGCTTGAGAGGGGCTCGCGTCTTTCTAGGTATGTTTATAATTTTCTCTGCACTTTTCTTGCGGGTGGATTTAGTGGTCTCATAGCGTCTACTGTAACCGTTCCGCTTGACACTATTCGTACACGTGTTGTTGTGGCTACCGCGTCGAATGCGTCCACAACTGTACTTGATGTGGTGAGAGACACATATCGTCTTGGTGGAGCTTTCTTTTTCTTCCGTGGAGGGTGCACCCGTGTGCTGTGGGTGACATTGAACATGGCTGTGTATTTTCCACTGTATGAGACGTTTAAGATGGAGTTGCTGCGCCGACAGGAGGCCTCCGTTTCAAATTTAACGTGAGGTCTTCTTTCGGTGCCTGCGATACCACAGCTGACATGCCTCGTCTCATTACACAGCCTTTTTTTTTTGCATTTTTTTTGTTGTTGTTTTTCTCTGCCTTTCCCTCCCTTTTTTTTTTTTCCTTTGCCTCCTACGAGAAGTTGAGTTGTTGGGGGGGAGGAAAAAAATCGGAAAATTTTATTCCTTATATGTTTTTTTCCATTTTTCCTTCCTTTCTCTCTCTCTCTCTGTTTTTGCCTGTCTAAATGAGTGTCTCTGTGCGTGTGTGTGTGTGTCCCTCTCTCGCGCTGTGTATTTTTGTCATCTTTTTAGCTTCTGGCGTGATTTCTTTCTTTTTAAAATTTCTTCTGTTTTGATGTGCGTCGTGTTTTTATTTGACAGTTACGTTCGTGCGGCAGGAGGCGAAAAAAGAGAGGGGAATAGAAATCAGGCGGAGAGGGGCGGGGGGAAAAAACAACGGTAATAAAAAGAGAGGAAAAAAAAAAGAAAAAAAAAGGTGGAAGAAAAGAAAAGAACGCGGTTTGATGGCAGCTGCCACAGCCACAAATAACAACAGTGATGGGCTCACTGACGGTGTCTGGCCGGAGTTCTCGCAGGAACTGTGCGAGGAACTGAATGAAAAGCGCTGTCTTGTCCTTGCGGTTGATGCAGAGAAGGCGGCCGCTGTGTGTCGTTGTGTCGACGGCGTGATCGCAAAGTTGGGCAGCGGCGCGGAAGGGAACGGCAAACCGAATAACGGGTCAGACGATATGTTACCTTCACTGCAACGTTCCCCACGTGTCCGCTTTACCACAGGTGATAATATTGCAAGGTTACAGAGGTGTACTGCTGTTTACGGGCGATTTCCAATGCTCCTTGTGCTGGAGATGTACGAAGATCGCTCCTTTGTGTTGGATCTTGATGCCGATATAACGATCACTAAAGAAACGGAGAAGAAGATTGAGTTGTTTCTTCGTGGTGTTGCGGCGGGCGATGTTCCAAGGGCTCTCCAGGGCGCGGTACCGCCTGCCAATGATTGCATCGATTCTGCGCACAATATCCCTCTTAAGCACGGGCTCTGCGCTGTGACGAGCACCCTTGAGCGGCTTAAGCGGAAGGAGTCAGGCGGTGCGGTATGCCTCTTCTGGAGCGAGCACTGCGCAATGTGTTCTGTGGTTCTTATGATGGTGGATCGACTTGTAGGAGTGATCTTGGAGGCGTCCGAGGCCCGCGGTGTGGCACGGCCATTTAGCTACATCGCCTGCAACATTGACCACAACGATTTTCCAGAGGAGGACTGGCCGCAGAAGTCGGAACGTCAAATTGTGCCGACGATTGCTGCGTACAATGGGGATGGTGAGCGCTTTGTGTACGGCGGCAGACGGATGGCTTCGCCTATTATTTCTTTTATATGTACGCACTGCCTGCCAAGTGGCTTGCCCAATGCGGCGCAGATCGCAAGTGATGCGTTGGCCGTTGCAGAGAAGATGAAGGAAGAGGAATTATGGGGTGGTGGCGTCTATTCCACCGCCGAAAAAGACGCAGTGAAGGAGATAAAGCCGAGGGAAAACGACCACTTCGACACAAATGAGGCCTCGGATGTCAACTTGGAGGAGGCTGGGCAGAAGCGATTGCGTCGCTGCGGTCATGATGCACAAGAGGAAGAAAGCCCTGAGAGTGAGAGGGGCGAAGCAACAAAAGAGGAACAAAAGGAACCAAAAAAGGAAAGAAGTGAAGTAAATTGAGGAAGGCAATGCAACATATAAAGGAAATTTATCTTGTTTTTTTTTTCTTTCTTTCTTTTTTCTTTTTTAGGCCTCTCCCGGCCACATCGCTTCTTTTACTTTGCTTCCAAGAGGTATGACGAGACTTTTTTTTCTTTTTTTTCTGTGTGTGTGTTTGCACCGTGCGGATACTTAATATTATTAATATTTATTAATATTTATTTTATTTTATTTTGTTTCATGGTGTTTAGAAGTTTGTAGGAATGTGTGTTTTTGCCCTCTGAGCTCATAATTCCCGCTATTACATGCTTGTTTGGCAAAAATGGGAATATTTGTATGCCGAGTTTTACACTAGTGCGTTACCTTATTATAAAATAAAATAAATAAAATAAATAAATAAATATCTGTATGTGTATGTGTGTGTGTGTGTGTTTGTAATATCTAATTTCTTTTGTTTGTTTCCCACTGCTCCTCTGCGGCCTGCATTCCCCCCTCTTTTTTTTTTTTCTTTTTTAAAATTGTTTTACTTCTTTTCCTTCTGCATGCGTGTTTGTTTGTGTGTGGGGTTGTGTCCTCATCGTTGGGTGATTTTCTTTGCGACGACACGAGGCGGGAGCTCATCGTGACGGGAGGGAAGAGCGGGGTGTTTGCGCCGAACCCTCCCGCGACGTCCACATCTCATGCTGCTGTTGAAACATAAAGAGAGAGAGAGAGAGAGAGAAAGAGGGGAGGCAAACAAAACAAGGTGAGTCCATAGTAGACCTCTCTCAGAGGTGCTGAGTCACAAACAATGCGGAAGACGTTCGTGTGCCGTGGGGGGTTTCACGCACCGCGAAAGGTGACGACGGCACATGACTTACCGCACGCTGAAGTCTCCCAAGAGAAGGGGGCAGGGGACGATATATCTGCCGTATCGTTGGAGACGGCCGCAATTAAACGTCCACGCGTGGAATCGAGCCCGCGCGACACAACACCTGTGACTGTTGCACGGCCTTTAGACTCGTCTTTGCCGCCAAACACGACGGCTCCACCACCGCACGGACGGTCGGCAAATGGGACGGCCGTGGAGACGCCGCCGCCTGAAAATGACGAGGAACTTCAGCGGGAGGTGGAAGAGGACCAGCGACTCTCCACGGATCTTCCATTTACACCGAGCAAAACGGCAGCGGGTCTTGGTACACCGCCCTTTGTTTTTTCCCAGCCGTTGTTAGAGGAAGAACAAGATGATACGAAAGAAAATGCGAATACCGCAGGTGTGGTGGCTTTTCACAATAACAGCGATGCGGTGCCGGTGACTTCTCAACCGAATAATATTGACCTCTCCGTACAGCCAAGGGATATTGCTAGTAGCAGTAGTGAGGTTGCTCTTGTTGATGGTGGTGGGGTCTTTTACGATCTTCCTCAGAGCGCACAAAACTTCTTTTTGAATCGACGCGGCATCAAAAAACTGTATCCGTGGCAGCATGAAGTTCTCATGCGGGATGATGTGCGTGGAGGCGGAAGTTTGGTCTACAGTTTGCCGACGAGTGGAGGCAAAACGTTAGTTGCGGAGATTTCTCTTCTTCGGTGTCTTTTGAATCGAAAAAAGTCCTGTTTCTTTGTTCTTCCCTTTGTTTCGCTAGCGGAGGAGAAGGCAGTGGGACTGCGTCCCTTCGGCGACGCGTTGGGATTTGCCGTGGACGGTCATTACGGCACACAAGGCAGATTGCCCCTTCCCAAGCGTACTGCCGTGTTTGTTTGTACCATTGAGAAGGCAAATTCGCTGCTTAATCACATGCTGGAGGAGGGCTTGACGGAGGAACTGGGGGCAGTTGTCGTAGATGAACTGCACATGCTTGGTGAGTCTCATCGCGGCGCGACACTGGAGCTGTTTCTATCCAAACTACTTTGTTTACCTCACCAGGTGCAAATTATTGGCATGAGTGCCACCATTCCAAACCTGCCAAATATCGCAAAGTGGCTACGTGCTTCCTGTTACTTGGGACAGTATCGCCCCATTCCACTGAGGCAATATGCCGTTGTGGATGGTATGGTGATGGAGGATGGTGAGCGGAATGAACGCAATCTGGTCGCGGCTGGGTATGCTACCGAGACGGAGCAGTTATTGCTGTTGGCAACAGAGATACAAGGGGCATCTGTGTTGATATTTTGCGCGAGTCGTCAGCAGTGCGTTGATACGGCACGTCTCATTGCCCGAAACCGAAAAGGCATGAAAGATGGGTTCCACAGCGCAAGTACCAGTACTCTTGGGGCCCTTCAGAATGAACTGAGCTCCTTTGGAGCGGATGTGAACGTGCTTAGCCAACTTCTTCCTCATGGAGTTGCGTTTCACCACGGTGGCTTGCTCGGGGAGGAGCGCGAGTTAATTGAGAGGGCATATCGTCAGAGAGAAATCAACATTTTGTGTTGTACGTCGACCTTGGCGGCCGGTGTTAATTTACCTGCGCGACGTGTTATCTTCAAGACACCTTACGTGGGACGTGACTTTTTGACAAAATCCCGTTATTTACAGATGTGCGGACGTGCGGGTCGCGCCGGCCTGGATGAGTTTGGTGAATCATTTCTTCTTCTCTCCCGCAGAGACTGCCACAGGGGACGAGAGTTGATGCGACAGGAGGTGGAGATGTGCTCGAGTCAAATGCTGTCTCAAGCTAGTGCCTTTGAAAGGGCCCTGCTCGAGTGTGTTGCGGTGGGCGTCATTGGATCGCCTTCCGCCGCCCAAGCGTGGATGGCAAACCTCATGTGCCATCATGCAGCAGGGCCGTTTGATCCGGTTTACGATGTGGCATCAAGGCCATTGCCAGTGGCATTGGAGGGCATTCTGCAATCATCCATGGACCAGTTGATTCGGAGTGGTTTGGTGCAGCGTGTTTCTCTGCGGAGGGAATCTGACGAGGGTGGCGATGCCGCCACGATGCAGCCTGCCGGAAATGATGATGAACAAGTGTCGTTGTCTGCGACACCCTTTGGTGCCTGCTCCGTACGGTCTTGTTTCAGTATTGAGGAGGCCTTGTTGGTTCGCGGGGAGCTGGAGAATCTGCAGCGCACAGGTCTAATTCTTGCCGATGATCTACATCTTTGTTACTTTTTAACACCACTACGGGAGATTGGAGAATGTAATTGGTCAGCGTATTGCGAGGTGCTCTCACAGATGAGCGAGAACCGTCAGCGTATTGCAAACATGGTGGGAGTCGATGAATTTTTTGTGCACCAGCGATCTATGGGACTTGGGGATCCATATGGAGGTAGCGGCAGCCGGACTTTTGCCACGCGCCGCTTCTTTGTTGCTCTGATGCTTGCCGATCTTCTCAGTGAGGTACCGATGTCTGTCGTAGAGCGGCGGTATCAGTGCAACCGCGGGCAATTACAGAGTCTTATGCGCAGCGCCTCCATGTTTAGCAGCTCCATCACGAGCTTTTGTCGGGCGATGGAGTGGTTTTCGCTGGAGGCCGTGCTGTCATCATATGTGAAGCGACTTGGCTTCGGCGTGAAACCAGACATTGTGCCGCTGATGGAGATACGCGGACTGCAGCCTGCACGAGCGCGGGCGTTGTGGGCGGCGGGCTTCAAGGGCCCCGCGGCGATTGCGGCGAGTAACCCCGGGGAGTTACTGCAGCGCGTAAAGAACGCCAATGCACCTGAAAACAAATCGGTGAAGTTCTTCACACTCCGCGCCGCTGTGGCTCTCATACGTGAGGCGAACCTTCTCCTTCAGCATCACATTCGGGAGAAGAAGGGAGAGCTGATCGAACTGACGCTGCGCTCACGGGCATCACCGCTTCCATGAGCGCCGTGTCGATGGGCGAAAAAAACCAAAAAAGCAAAGAAAAAGACAAGGCGACGACGAGAAGGAGGGTAAAGAGAGGAGGTGGAGACTCTAGCGCGGTTTGACATGGCAGTTTTCCTTTTTTAGTAATGGCCTTCTGCCGTGGGTGGCCCAGCAGCTTTGCTGGGCACTTGTTTCTTGCAGTCGATGCGCTCAATTAAAACTTTTTTCTTTTTTCTTTCTTTTATGCTTCTCTGTGCATTATGCGATTTGTCTGTGAATGAGAGGGACGTCTGGGGGCAGGTGGGGGGGCAACCAATAGTAATAATAATACTAAATCATAATCAAAAGGAAAAGTAGCAAGAGAGAACGTCAATTATTCGCAGGAGATGCTGGCAGCTGGCACGTTTATTTTCTTGTGTGGCGTATCCGTATCATTGGTGTTGATTGTGGCATCATGGAGTCAACGATGGCATTTGCACGCGAGCGTCTCCGTGGCGTTGTTTCCAGTCGCTGCGGTGATAGCGCTCGGATTCTCGGTATGTGCGCAGAAAATTGTTGAGTATATACACGAAACAGCAAAGCTCAACGTGGTTCCCCCATTCCTTTCCCAAATGGCACTGAGAATACGCCCCATTGCTGGTGACGCCATTACGTTTTTTGATATTCAAATTGTGGCAATTCTTCTTTTTTTGTGCTACGCGTCGGTGGTGTTGCAGCGGCATCTCGTAGACATCTCACGTCTCTTGAAGATATCGCGTCGGCGTATATTTATGAAGCAACAGTGATACTCGCTGTTTAAACGGGGGTGCTGGTATTTGGATTGGGTCTGTTGCCCCCTGTTTATTGTCATTTTCTTTGGTGTGTTACTTCTATATGATGACTGTTCTGTTTTTTTCCAGCACTTTGTGGGATGATTTTATTTGTTCTGTTGGCCCATTTTATTTTATTTCATTGTTATTTTATCCATGGTAGTTGTAACGCCAAATATGACCGAAGGGAGGGTGGTGGAACTGTTTGGCGGTGCCATCCGCTGTCTGCTTCCCGTCACGACCGTTGACGTGAGTGAATTCAGGCAGGTGCCCGACACACAGGAGGTGTACACCGAGGCAGAGACGGGTATGTGCATCATCGTTGAGCTTCTTGCCCGTCAGTCTGAAGTCAGTGACAGGGAGTGCGGGGCATTTTTCTTTAAGGACCTCGCACATGCGAATGAGTGCCGTGACGGGGACTACACACTCAACGCCCAGGAGCCACTCGCACCCTCGGATTACCCAAAGGTGGCGCAGCTGCCACCAGGAGCGGCGCCAGGGAACGGACAGGAGTGTGCATACGGCTGTCTTATTTCTGGGACGCAGCGTATCTCCAAGTACAAAAATGAGCGGGGCAAAGAGAACGAGGTTTTTGTGGCAATCGGAGTGCTGCGCTTCTTGCCGTCCATCTCTTCCGATGTGCTGCTCTCCATCTCTGCGCCTCAGTGGATCCATCCGGAGAGCAGCGAGGCTCAAGTGGTGCGACAGCTTCGGGGGAAGGAGGAGGTGCTGGCGGTGTTGCGGCGTATGTTGATTTCTTTTGAGGTGCGAGAATGGTCGCTTTTTGTGCCAGAGGGTTGAAAGGGGTGGGGCTGCTGTGGGTTTGGAGCGGTGAATTCGCCCAAAATTCGGGCAAACACATGTCTGTTGTCCAACGACGTCTGAAATGTTTGTTTTCTTCATTCTGTTGTTGTTGTTGTTGGTGGTGGTGGTGCAATATGAACATGTGTGCTCTTCTTTTTCTCCTTCCTTTTCTCTCTTGTTCCTGCGATGGGAAGGGATTCCACGCGAGAGTTCACATACGCGCACAGACACCCACTCGAGGAACATCATCTTTCACATCAGCAATCGTGGCAACAAAAAGAAACAGACTTGGCCAGGGTCATAATATACCGAATGCTGCGTAAGATTACCACTCCGTACAAAATATCCGTGCGCCGCACCACCTCAACGGCGCCGGAAGCCACGTCAAAGAAGGCCATTCTACGGTTGATTCGCTTCGACCCCACAACAAACAGACAACGAATAGAAAGTTATGAGTACGACAAGCAGCATGAATACATGGTTCTTGACCTTATCACGGCAGTAAAGGCGCATCAGGACCCCACGCTAGCTTTTCGTGCTTCCTGCTGCGAAGGTGTCTGTGGCAGTTGCGCCATGAACATTAATGGCATTAACAGTCTTGCCTGTATCACATTCTCTCAGCAGGTGACAACAGTGGGGCCGTTACCGAACTTTCCAGTCATCAAGGACTTTGTCGTCGACCTTCGCCACTTCTTCCGGCAATATGCGCAAATTCGTCCATTCGTGCGCAACACAAATCTTGATCGCAGTCGCGTAGAAAACATTATTGAGCGGTACGATACACTTCGAAAAGTCATTCATGGCGTCAGCCCTCATGGGATCCCTACGGACTCGGATGTGCCACGCGGCGGCAACGTGGAGACAGAGGTGGTGGGTCTTCTTCGTCTTTTAGACGCAATTTCTGAGGCGGGCAACGTCACGCACCTTGTGAGTACGCTGGAAGAGCTGGAGGCGAAGGGCGTTCAGCTGGACCAGGCCAAAGTGAAGGAACTCATCGAGACAACGCTGCGGAAGCATGGCGAACGAACAAAGTAGCCACGCAGCCCGAAGGGATCCTTCAAAGAAGGGACTGAAGGGGATGGGGCAAACGGAAGAAAAACGGAAAAAAGCAAAACAAACAAACAAAAAAACAAAATAAAAAAAGAACTAAAAAAAAGAGAAGAGGAGATTTGGGGACGTGTGCCTCTGACGGGGCAGACGAGCAGCGAAAGTAAAAACAACAACAACAAAAAGGGAAAACAAAAGAACAACTCAGACAGAAAGACAAGAAGAGCGGTTGGGTGGAGAAGGAAAAAAATGTCTGCTCTGCGATGGAGTTGAGGAGGGCAGGTCTGTGCGGCCGTTAATGTGACACGCGCCGTCCCTGGCTGGCTGACTTCTTCTCTTTTCTCAATTTCTGTGCTTATACCAGCCAAGGAGTCTAGAACTGACGTGAGGCGTTTTGGTGAATCGGGGCTGCTGCTGGCAAATGACGAGAGAGGGATGGAGGGAGGGAGGAAGGAAGCAATGTCATTGTATTACTTTAAAGCTTAATCCCTTTGTTCAGCTGCTCAAGAAGGAGACAGCACGGGGGGGTGGGGGTACTTAAGGGGGATTCTCTCCCTCCACGCGCATGTATGCATGTAGTCTGTCTCTGGGCACAACAATGTCCACAGTTTGAATGGAGGGACTTAATGAAACTTAGGAAGAGGAGGGTTGACAACGACTTGTGTCAAGTTTGGAAGGTTTGGATGTGCGAGGGCCTAAGAAATACAGGCAAAGAAATAAAAATAACAACAACAACAAAAAAAAGCAAGTATTTTTTTTTTATTTGTTATTGTGGCAAAAAAGAAAATGGAACTGTAGGATGTTATAGATGTATGGTTGTATGGTGTGAGAAAAAAAACCTTCCTGATTTGAACCTCAATCCCCCATCTTTTTATCACTTTCGGTGACGGTGGTGGGCGGCTTAAATGGGAGTAACAGTGAACTGCCCCGAGCATCATCAATGGTATATATTTTTTTTTTTTTTTTGTTTCCTTTCTGCACCTTTTTTGGGTGTGAGAGTGCGTATATATTTGTGTTCACATGTGTGTGCTTTTGTGAGGGTGTCTGTCCGTTCTTCTAATGGAATCTTTTCCATTTTCCGCTTCCTTTCATTGGGGGGCGCACATTTGCCTATTCTTTCTTTCTTTCTTTCTCCTCTCGTACTCTGGAATTATTCTGAATTGTCAGTTGTACATCGAGGTCTTTTAACGTATTCTGCACAAAAAGAAACACAATATAATGAGGAAATTTGCGGGTGGTATCTTATTTTTGGACAAATTTTCCCGTCCGCAATTAGTGGAGTTTGTTGTTCTGGGAGCTATTGCTGTGGCTTCCTTTCTGCTCATGGTATTTCTGCCGATCTCACGGGTATACTGCGCTATTGCCCTGATTATTGTCATCATTTGCGGATTGCGGTTGTGGCGGCTTTTGCCCAGCGACAGGCGACGTGTCTTGAGGGAGGCGCACCAGATGGCTGACGCCATGTTGTTGGCACGTCGGTCGACCAATGCAGCCCCCATGATGGCGCTATCCACGCAGTTGCCTCCTTCTCAGACTGCCTTGACGCAGGCTCCATTCATGCCGCTCGCGCAGTGTGCTCCATGTATGCAGTCTGGGTTTGGGCAAGTTGCGGCACTCCCTACGCAACAGTTTCTGGCAACTTCAATGGGTTTTCCATATCGACAAAATCAGGTTTTGATGATGAACTCAATGGTACAGCCATCTCCACAGCAGCAACAGGCGATGCTGTCGACCTCCATGGTACAGCCATCTCCACAGCAGCAACAGGCGATGCTGTCGACCTCCATGGCACAGCCATCCCCACAGCAGCAACAGGCGATGCTGTCGACCTCCATGGCACAGCCATCCCCACAGCAGCAACAAGCGATGCTGTCGACCTCCATGGCACAGCCATCCCCACAGCAGCAACAGGCGATGCTGTCGACCTCCATGGCACAGCCATCTCCACAGCAGCAACAGGCGATGCTGTCGACCTCCATGGCACAGCCATCTCCACAGCAGCAACAAGCGATGCTGTCGACCTCCATGGCACAGCCATCTCCACAGCAGCAACAAGCGATGCTGTCGACCTCCATGGCACAGCCATCTCCACAGCAGCAACAAGCGATGCTGTCGACCTCCATGGCACAGCCATCTCCACAGCAGCAACAGGCGATGCTGTCGACCTCCATGGCACAGCCATCTCCACAGCAGCAACAGGCGATGCTGTCGACCTCCATGGCACAGCCATCTCCACAGCAGCAACAGGAAATGATGGCTAACACGCCGACACAGACGCATCCAGTGCGTTTTGTTTTACAACAGGCGTCACGTGTTCCAAAGGCATTATCGCCGAAACACCAACATTCGATGGGCGCTGGCAATAGGCTGCCAAAGCAACGGCAAGATTTGAGGAGCAAGACTCAATTTGGCTAAGTTGCGTGATGAATGGAGGGCGCGTTTGATTTTTTTTTTTGTTGTTGACTCTATTTCCAGGGTTATTGTTATTATTATTGTTTTTTTTTCTTTTGCAGGGTTTTTATGTGCATTGAAAAGCTGAGACATTCTCCGTGTGTGCAGTTTATTTTCTTTTTTTTTTTTTTTTTTTTCTGCTGCCCACTGCGGTGTCTCGTAGCTTTCTTGACGGCGCCATGACAACACCTGAGAGTTTTTTTTTTTTTTTGAAGGGAAGAAAAAAATGAATAATAATAATAATAAAATATCTATATTTTTTTTTTTGGGTTGTTTCGGGTGCGTTTGTTTGTTTTGATTTGTATTTATGTGTGTATTTGTTTCTTTTCAGCCTTTTTTCCTTGCGTGGGGGCTCGTTCCTTTTTTTTTTTTTTTTCTTGAACGAAGCCCCTTCATGTGGAGGGGAAGCGAGACAACTGATCGAATGCATAAATGCTTTTTGTTGGTATTACTGATGTATGCTGCTGATATGGGCATCCCACCGATGTGCACACACACAGACGCGGACGGAGCTGCATATATTTTTTTTTTTTGGTTTTGTTAACGTAATTGCGGATGGCTGTCTATTATTTATTTATTTATTTTTTTTCTTGTGGTTTTTTTTTTTTTTTGTGTGTGTGTGTGTGCCGAGGGGAAGGAATAAAGGATGTGTGCTGGCCGGATGCACAACACACATGGACCTTCAGGTCTATGCGGTTGGTGTCTGTTTTTCTGCGGGTACGTTCCTTCCATCTTTGCGGTGATATTGATTTTGGCGCATATAATTCCGTATTATTTGTTTTTTCTTCCACGTCTCCATGAGACGTATACGAAAGGAGTCGTCTCTTGGATTTATTGTGCCTACTGCGTTATTTTTATGACGATAGCGGGGTTGCTTTTATTGACCAACTTTTTATTTGCCATCTTTACACCGCCGGGGTATGTAGAGCGGGTACCTTGGGCCGATATGCCGGTTTTTAGGGGCCAAGTGAATAGCAGCAACATGAATGAGGTACATCGGGTTGGATTAGATGGGAACTTACGCTACTGCTATAAGTGCGAGATATACAAACCAGACAATGCACATCACTGTCGTAGTTGTCGTCGTTGCGTCTATCATATGGACCACCATTGCCCTTGGATCAACAACTGTGTTGGTCGGGATAATGCAAAATACTTTTTGTTGTTTCTCTCTTATATCCCACTGTGCGGCCTTCATATTGGTGGCACGATGGCATACAGCTGCTTGTACCACTTTGACATGCATGGCGTGACTGGTTTTGCGGAAGAACCCATTCTTATTTGTTCCGTCGTCTTTTCATTATTGATGGGCATTTCTTTCTTTTTTTTTGCTGCACATTTTCTCTGGTTGACATTTCGGGGCGAAACCACTGTGGGGAATGTGGCCTATCGCGATAAAGGGGACCAACGGTTGCTGAAAGAGGAGAAGGAGCGATATCTGAATGATATATGTGGCGTGGACCGCCGTTGGTGGCGGTTGATTTGTCCTTTTCGTGTTGTGCGTCCTTCGCATGGGACATCGCTGCGGGAGTTGACTTGAGTGCACTTGGCATATATATACATATATATACATGTCTCTGTGGGCGCTTCTGAGGACTTTTCAAAACTGTGGTCTGCAGGAGGCAGCTGAAGTAAATGGGAAACAATGTAAAAAGCGAGAAGGAAAGAGAGAAAAGGAGGAATTACTGGGAGAGTTTTTTCTTATGGATGATGGCTTCTGGTTCTTTTCTTTTTTCTTTTGGTCTTGTTTTGCTGTTGTTGCTGCTGTTTTTTTTTTTTTTTTTTTTTGGTCTTCTCTTTTTCTGCGTGGTTGGTTGGGCGTCACGCCTGCGGTCAAGAGATATCAACACACTGCAAATATCTGAAAAGTCATTTCTTTTTCCTTTTAAACCCTTTATTTTATTTTTGGGCCGACGAGCTCTTAGAGTGGGGTGTAGCCGCATTGCTTTGTTCACAGGGCTGGGGACTGCTGTTCCCTGCAACACAACTCCCGACGGCGAGAGTAGACAGGCTCGAACCAAGACGGGGGTTCATTTGTAGGAATGGATTGCGTGGTAGGCATGCGGAATGTGCATAGCCACACCTCAAGGAATTGTGGTGAGGTGTGTTGCCTATGTCTTTCATACACATTTCCGTTTATTTTGTTTTTGATAATAGTTTCTTCTACGGTGGGCTTTGATGCGTACTTCATAACCCTCTGCCTGCGGTATAACAGGGACTGGCGCACGGCTGTTTCGGTGCTTTTCATGGTGGTGGGCACTGCCGGGGTCGCAATGCTCATGTGGGCATTTATAGGTGTTCTCACGACGGCCGCAGGGTATGTCCCTTCCTTACCCTGGAAATATCCTCCAACATATGTTGGTGAGATGGCGGGTTTTCGACCCCCTACTCAACCCAATTCGGAAGGTTTCAATCCTTACTGCGTCACCCAGCTGGATCGCACAAAAAGGCTGCGGTACTGCGTACCATGTGGTCAGTATAAGCCGGACAATGCATACCATTGCAACTTTTGCTCGCGCTGCACATATCAGTTTGATCATCATTGCCCTGCCGTAAACAACTGCATCGGACGCGAGAATTACAAAATTTTTGTTACGTTCCTTATCTACACTGGGTTAGTTTCTTTTTTAAATACTGTTTTGATGCTGATCGGTTTACTTGTTTTAGATAGTGGCGAGAGGTTCGTCTTATGGTTTGGGCTTCCCTTGTTTATGGCTCTTTTGGGTTCCAGTGTTTTTTTCTTTGGTATGCTACATGTGTGCTGGAGCTATCGTGGGGAATCGACCATGTCGCGACACGTTGCCTTATTCAATCGGGAGGAAGCGATGGCGCAGGATAGGCAACAAGCGGATGAAAAGCGACGTGCTCACTGGGATGCAGTGTTGGGGACAGACAGACGGTGGTGGCGCATGCTTCTTCCAATGAGGGCCAGGTGGTTGAACACTGAGGCTCTAGTTTGAAGTTGTCCGTACGTTTTTGATGCTCAATTTATTATTCTTTTTTTCTTCTGAATACAAAATCATATATATATATATAATTTTCTATTTATGGCAGCCCAAGCTTTCTCTACGCGATGTATATTATTTATATCTAAGTGTCTGCGTGTGCTTGTGTGTCTTTGCAGACTGATTGGTTGTGATGTGGAGCGTGAATTCATATGAGTCAGGACAAACTCAAAGAATATCCACATCTAATATATTTTGAAAGCCATTTTTTTTTTGTTGTGTGTTTATTTGTTGTTGTACACTTCTGCCTTTTGTTTGTCGGCTTCTTTCGGCCTGTTCTTGTCTTTTTTTTTTTTTTTTTTTGTTTTGTAATTTGCTTCAGCGAGAGTGGGAGAGAGTGAGGAGTGACGGGAGGGGGACCGTCACGACAGAGAGAGAGAGAGGGCGCGTGTTTTGTGTATAAAAGGGACGGTCTTTCCGAGAATAAGAAAAGTAAAAGGAAAACAGAAAAAAAAAAGAAAAGGAGGGAAATGCCCCCTGCCGTTGATGGCAAGGGTGTGAGCGGCGAGGGAAAGACACCGCAGCAGGGTGAAGGGGTGGCGCGGAGGGAAGGAGTGCTGCCACCCATACGGCCCGTCGCCTCGGCACCGGTGGGAAGGAGAAGAGACAGCTCGGCCGACGAGTTATTGTGTCTTAAGAAACTCCTGCAAAAACAAGAGAGTCGCTTGAACGAGCGCTACCAGCGCATAACGCTTTGTTCGGAGTCTGCCGGGGGAGCCGACATCAGCCGCACCGCCTCGGATTTGGGCGATGTAGCCACAAAGCCGCAGGGTGTTTTAGGGAACGCTTCTCTGAGTGTTCGCGGAGCCCACTACAATCCGAACCCAATTCTTTCCTCCGCGCCACCGACTGCTTGGGAGCAAAAGGAGGGAGAGACAGGGGCCCAAGAGGCGAGGGATTCTAGGGAGGAGGATGAGGATGAGAGTGAACTCCGTAGGCTCGAGGAAGATCTTAACCGTCACCAAACACGCATCAATCACATTCAAAATGAGATGGCGCGTTTGTGGCGGAAACCGCATAGTCACAGGAAAACTGCCCTGTCGCCACCAACACCGCTCGTGATGCAGGTTGATAACGATCGCGAAGTCTTGGAACTGGCGACGTTGGTGTATAAATTCTCGACGTTCGAACAACAGAAGGGAGGAAACCGCGCAACCGGTGGTAAGAACTCCTCCCAATATGATGTTTCTGGTGTTGTGGATCCTTGGCGGAGCTTTTCCAGCTCCATAGCCTTTGACCCAGAGCGTTCCACGACTAGCATGCAACTGGGACGGATGTCTATGCGTTCAAGCAGTGTTCTTCGCATAACAGATGGTACAATTGCCCTCATGGAATCCTTAACCAATCAACGAGATATTGTTTTACCCTCACCCAGCGAGGTGGGTGTGGTGCGTAGCGGTGACGTTCTCTCTGCAAACCACATTCTTGTTGTGGATCTGCAGGATGCACTGCGCAGTCATAAATGGCCAACAGGCATCATTTCTGGCGCTCCCTACTTTCGCATAGTGCCAAGGCTAAATGTGGCAGGTGTTGCCCAACCGAACATTAGTGCTGTACGAACAGTTGTAAACGAGGTTTCTCGAGCCTATGATGGGGCCTTTGTGTGGGTCAATCTTCGCGAAGAACCTCTTATTTATATCAACGATCAGGCTCACATTGTTCGAGAACGCAAGGAGCCTCTTAATCCGATGATTATTCCAAATGTCACCGGCCGCGGCATTGCACAGATTGAGGAGAAACTTAAACAGGAGGTATTAAAGGAGGCACATGAAAACGGCGGCAACGTCAGTGTCCACATGGAGGGGGTCAATGGTCTCATGGAGGATCAATGGGAAAGCGCAGATCCGCATTGCGTGTTAACATTACAGAATGTTTTTGACGCGCTTCGCCCAAATGTTATTTTTTATCGTCGTCCCATTACGCGGAATGTCGGGCCGCAGCCGCAGGACTTTGATTTTGTTTTCAACACTTGTGTGGAGTATCCACGAGCGGTGATTGTGTTCAACTGCCAAACAGGGCGGGGGAAGACGAGTTCCATGATGTTGATTGCCAGTATTGTTCGCTTTTATCAGATGTGTGGCCATGACGTCTCCCTCGATATTCGCTTGCTACGGAGTGAGTCACGGGGATTTCGTTTTCGCACAATCAGGAAGCTTATCTCACTGATCCCGGACGGTAAACTTCACGAGCACCGGCTTATGATCCTTTTAGAGCTTATCGACAAGGTGTACTCCATCACGGAGCACATCCACGCCGCATTTTACACAGGGACGGCATCGGCGGAGGAGGCCATGATGCATCTTCAGCAGTACTCTTATTTTCTTGTCTTCTCGTTCTACTGCGAGCAGCGTCTTTGGAACTTCAACATCAAAATACCCTTCAGTGAGTGGCTAGCGGAGAATAACGAGTTGAGGCTGATCATAGCCAGCATTCAGTCGATGGAGGACGAGTTACGGGAGGAGTGCATAGTCGCGCCCATCGCGGAGGGAGAGGCGGCTTGGGCCGCCAGCATTGTGCGCCATCGCCGGGGAAATGTGTTGAGTGCCGGCCGCATTTTGTACACCGTTCCGATGCTTTCGGGGGACTCGCAACACGTCAATACACTGCGGCAACTGGCGCCGGATGTGCCCATCTTCACCTGCGGGCGGTTGTCGGAGTCTGGCCGCAATCTGCTCATGGCGGAAGTGCGTCAATATTTCCCCAATGAGGGGAATATTTTGTGGATCAATCTTCGCGCCGAGCCCATGGTGTACATCAACGACATCAGCTTCACATTGTCCGACTATGACACGATCTCAGGCAACTCGGCGGAATTGGCATCGACAATGCATGTATCACTGAAGGCTATGGAGCAAATAGAGGAGCGTCTGCGTCGTGATGTTATTTTGGAATCACAGGAACACAAGGGTGTGATACTGTTGCACCACATTGAAGGAAATGGTAAACGCTCGACGATACGCGTTAAGGTACGTTCTGTGCGTACACCCAAATCGACCATGGCTGACTTTGCAACGGAATATGGAGTCTCCTATCATCGCATTCCTATTCCATTTGCCGGTCATATGTTGGCTTCCGACGTGGATCCCTTCTTGGAGTATTTAAGTAAAAAAGGTGGCAAACATGACGTGTTTATCATCCATGATAGTGAGGGGTCGATGCGTACGACAGTTGCGCTTAATATGCTTACCCTCTACCGTGCTTCTAGAGCGATTAGTTTACGAAGGCTTGCCACCCCGGATGAATTTAGGGAGGTGCTACGTGTCGGTCAGGGGGGAGTGGTGTTGCCCTCCGCACAGGTCGTTGGTTCGGTCGCGGTAAATCCGGACGAGTTACCGAAGATGCCTGTTGAGTTGCAGTTGGCAGCCACCATATGCCAAATGCTTACAGCGGGTTCATTGTTGCGTGTTGTTGAGGCAGCAATTTCTCTTGGGGGGCGAGGTACACGATGGAACATTCTTCACATGTTAAATCATTTAAAGGTGACGATGACAGATGCCATCAATAAGGTGAAGATTATGAGAAACACCGTTTGCTTGGTACGCACGTATCTTCTGGTGCTTCTCAGCGCCATTTACATTGACTCTATGGGGGACTACTGTTTGGAAAAACCATTTAGCGATTGGGTAGAAGAGCGGACAGAAGTGGCAAATATTATTGCCAATCTTGATCAGCGTGCGGAGCAGTCTATCAAGTACGTGGAACCCCGCACCTTTATGAAGGGAAGCGTCCCACACCACAATGGAGATGTTTTGACAGCGAACTGCATGTTAAAGGCAGATCACTTTCCAGGATGTCAGAAAAAAGGCTTGCGGCCGGAGTTGTGCGGTGCACCAAACTTCCGCAAGGTCGATACGGTCAATGTCTACGGCGTGGCCATTCCAACCCTTATGGGGATCCACAACATCCTATCAATTCTCGGTGCTTCGCAAGAACCGCTCCAGGCATACCCAGGCGAGAATAATGACAAGGAAGTCCACATGGGCTTTGCGGCGCCTCGGCTTTTTGAGCCCCGTTTTTCGCCAGAGGAGCTTTCCAAGCCTTTGCGTGGCAGCGTTGTTTGGGTAAATCTCCGTGAGGAGCCAATTTTATACGTCGGCGATCGGCCATTTGTGCTACGCAATTTAGATGCTCCGTACGTGAATGTAGAGTTGACCGGCATTGCAGCCCATAAGGTGGAGCAGGTGGAGACACAATTGATGGTGGATGTGCTAAAGGAGGCGACACGGCACAACGGCATGTTTCTTGTGAGCGATGAAGGAGAACCCGGGGAAATTGTTGGCATATGGGAACCGGCCACTAGGGAAACTGTCAAAACGGTGCGAGAGGTATATGATGAGTTAAGGGCACAAGGCATTCGTGTTACCTTGCTGCGACTTCCTGTGACAGATGAGCAAAGTCCTAGCGCAGAAGATTTTGATGCACTTGTTTCTGTCTTACTTCCTAGCATTGCCACTCACATGGATCGTCGCGAGACGCTGTCATTTGTATTTAATTGCCAAATGGGACGTGGACGCACTACAACTGGCATGGTGATTTGCTGCTTGTTGATTGGTCTTGTGATACCGGAGTATTACGATGAACTGAACAATAGATATGATCCTCTTTTCAAGCCAGATGACTCACCATTATCACGTGGGGAGTACAGTTGCATTGTGCAGCTAAAGCGTGTACTTACAGGGGGGCGCCAAGCGAAGCTGCAGGTGGACTTGGTGCTAGAGGTGTGCGCCAAGATGCAAAACCTTCGCACAGCGATTGAGAGCTTTGCGTTGCAGGTGAAGTCACCGGACGTCACAGAGTCGCAGCGTGGCCGGGCACACCACCACGGAGTGCACTACTTGCGTCGGTACTTCAACCTCATCACCTTTGCTGCGTATCTCCAGGAGGAATATAATTCCATGAAGAAAATGATGCGCTGCACGTACTCATCATGGTTGGCACAGCGACCGGAACTCACGACTTTGTGTGACTCCGCATCTCTCAAGTAGTCAAATTTGTACAGAGATATAAGAAATTGGCGGCATGCCAACTGTTATTTCTATATGATTTTTTTTTTTTTTTTTTGTGTGTGTGCGTGCATCATTGTGAAAATAAGCGGGTAAATTCATGCGGTTATGCTCTTTGTTTTTTTTCTTTTTCGTTTCTGTTCACTTGTTCGGCTGTTTCTTATGTTTATTCGGAGTTGTGGTAGGAGGAGAGAAAGAGCCGCACGTTGCGACCAGAGCTGCACACGCCATGTATACAGGAGGGGGAAAATATTTTTTTTTTTTTTTTTCTTTTCTTCTTTTTTCTTTTGTTTTGTTTGCATGTTCTTTATTCGCAAGGGAAGTTCACCGTGTGTTTGCAATCATTTGGGTATCGCGGGCAGCCTTTACGGTAAAGAAAGAAAAAAGAAAAAAAAGAACAAAATGAAGAGACGTGGTGGTGGTGGTGTTCATGGCGTGTGGGGGGGAGATTTTTTTTTACTTTTGGTGAACTTTGGAATGCAGTTTTTTCTTTTCTTTTCTTCTTTTTTTTTTTTTTTTTTTTTCTATAATTTGCATGAAGAGCTGAAATGTGTTTTCATTGTATTTTTTTCTTTTTTTTTCTTTTTTTATTATTATTATTATTTGGCTTTTTATGATTTGCGGCGTGGTGGTGCTGGTTCCTGTATGCTTGTATGTATGTGTGTTGTTGAGTTCTTTTTTTTTTTTTTTTTCTTTCTTCTATTTTTTTTCTATGTGCATGTATGCCGCGTATTTTTGTTATATTGTGGTGAAGATGTATGGAATAGTTATGTTGTTGTTGTTGGTGGTGGTGTATATTCATAATGATGGTGGTATGGATGCATGCGTGCATGTATATGTATGTATTTATATACATGAATATATATAAATATATTTATAGTGTCTTTCTGTCTGTGTGTCTCTCTCTCTCTCTCTGTGTGTGTACGTGTGTGTGTTCAACTCTTTGGGATTCTTTATTTTTGGGCCTTTTTTAAATGCTTGCGTACTTATTTATTATTTGCGTGTCTTTTTTATTTTTATTTCTATTCAGACCTGGCCTGGCTTCGGTGTGGCGGCGGAGGCTTTGACGCAACGAGCAAAAGGTGAGGAAGGCGAGAAAAAAATAATATAAAAATGGAGCTTCCGTTCCAATGGGATGACGGGAATTTCATCTCTCCTTTTTTAGCCAGCGGCGACGACACGCTGAGGGTACTTGCGGCGTGGCTGAATGACTCGCCGCTGCTTCGATTCCAGCACGGCGGTGCGCTTCGGCTCACGGACCTCGGATGCGGGGACGGGAGCGCATTGCTGTCTCTGAGCGCGGGGCTGTTCACGTTGCGGGGTGCCAGCGGTTGCCGTGACGTCTCTCCCCTGCAGTTGACGGCTGTCGGACTGGACCTTGACGAGGAACTCATCCTTGCAGCGAGGCGTCGAGCGGAGGCAGTAATTGTGCCACCACCGCACCGTCTTCACTGCGTCTTTGAGACTGCGGACGTGCGCCAGTTGGATGCGGCGCAATACTTCCCGCTGTCGGAATCCAGCCGCCACGTATTGTTTGTGTACCTGCTGCCGGAGGGGTTAGAGGCCATTCGTGAGAAGCTGTTGGAGATAATTTCTCGTGTTGCGCTTCTTGTGTCAAACCGCTGGGAGGTGCCATTTCTTGCCAGGTGGAAACGCGTGAAGTTGCAGAATTTGCACCTCTACCAGTACGTGGGGGATGGGGCGAATTAATAATGACCAAAATTGCTGTGAGGTAATGTGGACATTTTATTTTTGGATTGATTCCACGCGAGGGGAAAGGGGAGGTGCGTGTGTGTTTGTGTGAGTGGGCGATGGTGCTGTTGGGATTGTGTGATTTCTTATGGCTTTTGATAATTTTTACCTTTTTTTTTTTTTTTTGTATGCATGTCTTTTTGTTGTCATTAGGAGCTGGCAGAGGGGGAAGACGCCTGGTGGGTATGTGGGGCAATGGATTTCTTTCGCTTTCATTCAGCACAACAGTACTCCAGCCAGGTGCCCCTTCGCAAGCTGTTGTTTTGTGTGACACTCTGGCGGGCCCTGCTGGTGGAGGAGAACCAGCCGGAGGTGTTGTGTAGTGTGACGGTGCCGTGGGACGGTAAACTTTTTTCCCCCGCGGAGAAACTTGACATGATTCGCGCCGTTGCTGCCGAAACAGCAGCTGGGATCAACGAGCGGGTTTCTTTGCGGGACGATGCCGACGGCACGGAGATGGAAATGGTGCACGCGCTGCTGCAGGGGCGTGCGAGCCCCATCCCTGATGCGGTTAGTGCGGCAAGGCAGTTGAAAGAGCACCTCGAAAAAAGCGCCAGTGCATTATTTACGCATACCTCCAGCGAAGATTACATATGCGAGGCAGAGGAGGAATGTCCGGTTGTTCCGCCGCAGGATCCAAGTCCACTGGCGTCAGCCGTACTTCGTCGGTACCGTACCCAACACAAAACGAGCAACAAGATGTATTTTATGTGGGCAATTGGAGGCATTCCTGCCCCGCATGGGGCTTCATTGACGGATATGCGGTGGGAAGGCGAGGAACGTGTCATCTGCATTATCACGGCAGACAAGAGTGAGTTTTATTTTACGGCAAGACCATCCATTAACGAGATGCACACTCTGTTTGTAGACTCTCTGCATGTGTACTCCTTCAAGATTTCTGTGGCGGCTGCGAAGGAAAAGGCTTTGATCCCATCGGAAACCGACGGCATTATACAAAAGATTTGGAAGATTGCGTTGCGTGTGAGAGATCATCTTTATGTTCCTCACTCTGGCCGAAGGCAATTACTGCAACAGATGCTCCTGCAAGATGCTGCTGGCACGGATGCGGATGAGGTGGCTTTAGAGGCGGAGCCCGCTTCACTGACAGGCGGCAGGGACTCTTTTACGCACGGAAGGTCGAGGGGGAAGGTGCGGCATTACATACATGGCACCATTGACAGGTGCGTTGGTGTGCCAGAGGACGCTCTTTATCTTCATTGCCAGTGGCAACAAGGCACACGGGATGGGGATAGCTATGAGACGGGAAACGTGGATGAAAGCTTTACGACGCAGCTTGCCTTTGCTGGTACGGCCATCGTGGAGGATTTTATTCCTGTTCCAGTGCATACTTTTAACACTCCTTTTGAGTATCATCTTGACGACGTGGAGATGACACCGCTGGAGCTCATTGTGACGGTGTACAGTGAGACGGAGCGTTCCCAACAGGCACCCGTTGGCTACACAACAATGACGGTACCGTATATGCTGCCTGGTTGCCACTCATTGCGAGCCCCGCTTTGGCGACCACGTCAAACTGGACGCGAGTTCCTTCGCTCCGCGCTTGTGGGCGGTGCCCCCTCGCTTGTTGACTCATCCGATGTAGCCGCACGCAGCAACACGGGTATGTCCCTCA